AGGCAGGAAGAAAATTGCATTTCTTGAGTCGCTGTTGTTGTTAAACCACTTTAAAATACCACAGACACAAACTAACCCATGGAGCAGAGTCAGTTTAGTGAAGATACTGTCGGGTATGGAACCCAAAGTTTCACAAGGGCCGTGCACCGGATCCCATCGGATCTTTTTTAACGGCCTTGTTATATTCCGTACAAACTTCGGGGTATGTAACTGGATTAGTTCCATCCTTTTCCTATCTTAATATGTATGGAATTATAATTTCTCCCTCGCGTGCTGCATGATCAACCAATCACAATTTTTATAATCTGATCAGCCTAGTAATACTTGGTAAATAATACAAACAATGAAGGTCCTTTTTTGCAGTTTTCCATAGCCTCCTCTTTAATTCTTACTTAGTTCCATATAAGAATCCGTAGCGTGTCATATTTTCTTAAAAAGCGCCAAAGCATCATGTGAAGTCAGTCCATGTGTAGCCGATGAAGTCAAAATATGCAGTTTCTAAAAAGAGGGACCCGTCAGATGGCTTCACTTTTCCAACGATACACATGAGCCTTACCTCTATATATATTTTCTGTGTGTCAGAATCGATAAATTAGCCGCCATTAATTTTACTTACGATTTGCATAGTATATTACTCACAACTTACATCGTCCGCATATATAGGTGAGATTTTAGGTTTTCACGGCTGTTTTCTGGGATGTTGCGCAATGTAGTCTGGTAGAAATTTACGGACATTTCAGAGGTCCTGCCCCCGTCTTCATAGCGATGAGTAGCCCTGATAATGATGAACCTCTATCAGACTGTACGGCACAACATCCCACAGGACAGTTTTTTTCATATGCATATTTGTTATTTGAAGAACAATTTTGAATCTTAATTCCGGCTAAGTTATTTGACAGAGCAAAACATGCTATAGATTCAGTCACAGAACTGAGTTTCAGGTAAAAAATATGCGAGGAAAACATATAGGTCTACATCAAGATATAGGCATCAAGTGGATAGTGTAACAAATAATAAATGAGGTCACCATGTGTTAAGGAATGAATAAAAGTTATTAATAAAGACGTTCTATGAATTATAGTTTACATATGGACATTAAATATCACAGTACTACTAAAAAGGCTACATTGAGACATTGACAGGATCTTACCCTTTATTTAGATGCATTTTATTCATATTTTAAGTGGTTATTTGTTTTTAAATCATAAATAACATACAGCTCTGCCAAGAATTAAAAATAATTATCTGCCGTCGATCCTATTTATTAAAATATCAGTTTCTTAAATTCATAGTGTACTTATTTTGAACAAATCTTCATATTCTTTACTTTTTCGCTGTAGCCGAAATATTAGACAAACTTCTTAACAGTTTATGTTAAAGTATCTTTTTGTATGTTATTTTCACTTTTACTCGAAATCACCATATTATACAGATGCATCTACAGTATTGGCAGGTCTGCTAATTTAAAGGTACAACCATTTTTACGTACCTCGAGGAAATACAATTTAAAACTAAATTTCCAGATTTTCCCGGTAAAATATTATTTCGAATGTGACGTAAAGACACGTCCATCTCAGAAACCTCTGTCAATGTAAGATAAGACAGGAAAACAGATTGACATAGAAATACAGCCATTTTTCTTGCGGTATTCGAACCCTTGGCTACAACATGTATGCGGAGTAACAGACTTGAACCTAGTTGTCATTGAGTAAAATTGAAGTTTGTTGTTTAAAAGTGAATCTATCCATAGAAAGACACTCTTTATGGCCACTGAAAACATTTAGGCACATTTACACTGCCACGCCATTTCATAGCATGGCAAATTACATTTTAACGCATCATAGTTACGTTATAGCAACACCCACTGCTGCTTCTAATCCAAATCCCACAGTCAGACATCTGCACATCCTTGCCAGTGGTTATGTTCTTATTATTTTTATTCTTTAAAAAAGATCCCCTGATCTCTATTTCATCTTACCGGATTTTGTAACGTGGCCGATTCGTTATCCCCTTCCCAAAATACTGGGCAGCACAGGTCGCCTCAGAAGCAGACGCCCCTCCAAGTCCACAAGTAGAAAAATAGACTGCGGTAAACAGAAATCAAGCCACTGGCGTTCGTTAAAACATTCAGTTCTAACATACCACGTGTTAGATCGGTATAACACGTAGCCGGCAACCGGAGCAATAATCCGGTCTTCCGTAAGACTATAACGCCGCGTTCTTCACGCGCTCACTCAGTTCTCTTCTGATTTACGCTTCTGACTGAACTCGCTTCGGAGCCACTTCCGTCTTCCCGCCATTTATCGTCCGTCTGGGGAGCAGGGGAGGGGATGGACTAAGTACGTCTTAATTAAACCACGAAACTTAAATGAGTTTCGTTTTGTAAATTCCACTTCCATTACAAATAATTTAGTTGTAATTACTTTTCTAAGGTTATCACTCAATGGAAATAGTTGCTTTTGTGCAGAAGTCAGACAGTAGTCCTTTTTCCATGGGTGATTCAATCATTCTTATGTCTTATTTCTTCGATCTCGTAGGTTTAGCAATTACGTCACTGTTCACATTTTCCGGATGCATATACATCAGATATCATATCATCTTTTGCCTTTTTAGTATTCGTTGTAGAAAAATAAAACTTTTCACAAGAAGTCGAGTCCACTAACAGAATGAAAGCGACGTTTATGTCAGTGAAGCAGACTCCACCTTTGACTCGAGTCCACTAACAGAATGAAAGCGACATTTATGTCAGTGAAGCAGACTCCAGCTTTGAAGATCATCACTGAATCCCGCTGATGACGAGCTCTGGGTCTGTCGCATGGAAGACTACATTGAGAGTCAGTTGTTGGTTTTCTTTTAATTAGGCATCGCACTGACAGATGCTTAGATTTCTTAAGCTCACCAGTTTAGAATTATTAATCTTTACATGACAATAAAGAAAAACGCGCACCGTGAAAACACACGTCTCAACGGATGCACACAAATTTTAGCCTAAGTCTCACGAATTTCGAAAATAATATTGCATTAAAACTATTATTATTAGCGTGTTTATTAATGAAATAAAATATTTAATAATGTATTCATTGATCGAGACATGAATTCTTAAATCGCTTCGACCAAATAATAGGGGTTCAATTACAGTAATGGACCGACGGATTACAAATTAGTTTATATTAAGAAATATTGCAGTTTTACGAGCGTCTTTTTTCCTTGTCTGTTGGATCGGCGACTATTCATGTCCTTAGGCCGCTGTTTTGAATGCAGATCCACCATATTCAACTCGCTTTAACGCACGTCTCTGTGTGTGTCTTTTCAGTGCACAATTTCCATGCCCGACCAGCTCCTGAAAGCGTTTCGACCGCCGGAAGACTGTTCTATGTGCCAAGAAATAAAGCAAGTGGAAAAGGTGGCCAATATATCGCCAAACCAGTTCGAGGATGTGTAAGTATCATTCATGTGTGTTATTTTACTTTATAGCACGGAATATCTTGGGGCCTTATTAGTTCCATTTACCAGATATTAATCTTGCCGTAGACATTTTTGTAATACTGTCAGTGACGGAGCATTTGTTGTGTTAACCCGGCTAACATTTTGGAAAACGGAAAATAAACAGCCTTGTGTACTACTTTCTTGGAAAACGGAAAATAAACAGCCTTGTATACTACTTTCGTACTCCATACACTGGAACACAGCAGAACCGATCACATGAACTGCATTAATAACCAGAAAAGTGTGATTATGTTTGCTTTGTTAACTCTTGCTGTGAGCTTAAGTCTCAAGTAGTTGACTAATATCGTGTGGATGGGTGGCTGGTGGTACCTAACGATGCATTTTATTTGATCGGTTCTGCTGTGTTCTAGTGCACAAGTACCATTGAACCACGAAAGTAAGACAGCCTACTTTTTTTTTTCAGCGTTAGCTGGGTTAACACGGTTAACATCAATGCTCGTCCGTACTAGTGTAATTGTAGCTGAAGTTTGAATGGGTAATCATGGAATGACAGACAGTGACAGTAAGTTTCACAAATGCGCCCAACCGAGTCAGTTTTCATTCTACAAATTCTCTCATTCCTCTTTCTCCCCCCTCAGCGCTACGCTTTAGCTTTCGTCACCATTAATATTAGAGTCAACGCTAATTTCCATCACCAGCTACACTTATTCCCTGCACTATCGATAATACATTTTAAAGAAATTCCATTTCCATTTACTTTTCTCGTTAAAATGATTACTAGTTTCTATCAGGGTACGATGACTGGCAAGAGACTGGTCTTTTAATATTACGGACCACAGCCCCATAAAGGACAAACGTCAGTCAGATGGCTGTAACAGCGGAAGAAAAGTAAAATGCACCTGTTATATTAAACTCATTTGCTTTCCATACGAATAGTGCAGTTCTGTTTACAAACCACGTGGCATATCCCATTTTGGGTCGCGTAAGGGGCACGAACAGACCCATGAACCCTGCTCAGCATGGAAGTGGCCGAGAGGCATGGTAATTCAAGGGAGAAGACACGAGAGCTGAAATGAAAGGGAAAGGAAAATACGGATTTAATCTGCAAGACAAAGACACCCAAAATAGGAGGAATAGACAATACAGAAACCAAGAGAAGTATAAAAGGAGTTAGTAATAGAATGAGAAAGAAATACTCTCTGTGGTATCAGAGATGGACTGGCTTGGAATTTCTTTGACTTGCTGACCCATTACGCTTTTACGAGTTGAGATCTGACGAGGATAATAATTCCTTGCAACCTGTTACAACTTCAGTTTGAGATCTGTACATATCCATTAACATCATTCCACTATTTGAACATTTTTTAGATGTATTTTAACGGCATGCACGTAAAAAGATTAGGTTCTTAATATGTGAAAGTTAATTTAAATAAAAATTTGTAAATGTTAAATTTATGAAGGAATATCAAAGTATTACATTACAAAATAAATGTAGAAACGCTGCTGCAGTTTGGGGTGTACAGTTTTCGAACGTTTACAACATTCGTTAAATATTCTTTGTATTAAAAAAAAATCAAATAGAAGTTTATTACAACATTCGTTAAATATTCTTTGTACTAAAAAAAAAATTCAAATAGAAGTTAAAGATCGTATAATAGCCGACATTTCTTGTACGAATATCTAATTTTGAGAGTTATGATAAATATTGACATGAGCATTGCGTAAATTGGACCGATAATAACACATTTTTTGAATCACAACTTTTACAAGATTCACTAAAAATATTTTCGTGCAGACGTCCGAAGTGTATTAGGCCCCACTATTCACTTTAAAAAAATAATTCAATCAAGTAGTTTTATTAAGGCGACTCAAGTTGACGAGATACGTTAACTCTTTAAAATCTAGTGGTAAAAATATGTGCCGCCATCTTTAACAATCAGGAACTTTTCATTTTATTTATGGACTGTAATGTAGGTTTCTTTTTATTCAGAGACTAAACAGCGATGATTTGCCTAAGCAGCATTGACTAACTGATGTTTGCAATGGTGTTAAGCGGTGTTTTCTTTGCTGTAAGAGACACACGGTTAAATATTATTTAAACTTCGTTTTCTACAGGTTAACTACATATAAGCCTAACATAACAAAACTAACCTTACTTCAAAATATGTATTTAAGTTCGTATGTAATTTAGTTTATCCCTCAGCGACTGTTCCTACACAATGATAACTCGAGTACATTCTCGTAAGGATATTGCCAAGGCTCAAACATTTACAGGCATAAGAGCTTAGATAAATCATAACAACACATATTTAATCAATTATAGAATCTACGTGAACAGTGTCTGTATTGAGGACACATATCGCTACACTGTTCTCATTTTTTCATGTAAATGACTAATTTCCTTTAATAAATAATTTTGTAAATTGTTAGGATTCTTAATAAGCATAATTATTATTAGGAGAGTGATATTTGTTATCTCCACGAAACATTTTTTTGTATGTTGTTTTAAAAGTTTTAGGATGCAAAAAATTGTTGTCGTGGTCTGTTTCAGGGTACAATAACCTCGTTCAGTTAGAGATACGGATGAAAAGTCCAAAAATATCAACCAGAATGCAGTGTCAGTCGTAGACATACTTCGAGCATAAAAGATTTAGAAATAATTAACTTTCATTTAAATTTAGGCTAAACCCAAATATTTACTTGCTTTTGGGATAACTTTCTCCAAAATCCTTTAATTTGACGTGTTAAATTCTTACCCGGCTAAAATTTTATTTCGCTCAATAATATACCACTTTAATATTATGTTCATCTAGGCCCATTTTTTTCAGTATCTAGAGATATGTTTTACTATAGCCGATAACAGCTTACACGTCATAACGATACTCAGTAATGGACTGAGTATTATACTTTTGTATTGTAAATCGCCTCTAAAGACTTGCACACAGGAAATACAGTCGATAGGGCCTAAGAGTTGGCGAACCAGGAAATTGCCTCACTGCCAATATTGTCATCCAAAGCGAGAATACGAAAGTGCGACAATGGAACAGGCGAGATAAAATAAGTGCAAGATGAATTGTGAGAAGATATATTGTAAAACGGAATATGAGATAGGGAAGAAGCCTTATAGAATGTTAGGAGACAGAAATATATACAAGAGTTGGAGAGGGAAAAAAGAAAGAAAAGAAATGGGATTGGAGCAGGTTGAACCCACAGACACCATTCCAGTTCCTACGTAGAACTTGGAAGCAAGCCGGAATTGTGATGCTCATTTAGTATGCCAGTCCACATGCTGGAACTTACTCTGCGTGTGACCTATCTAGGTCTCGCATCTTTAACCCCAAACGTTTTTATTTTACACCTTTTTAACGCTTCTCACCTCTAGAACCCAAAAACGTTAATGTTCTTCAATATATACGACAGTTTACCCTAGATTTAAGGGAGTGTAATTTTAATATGAGATTCTTCTCATGTTTAAAATAAATCACAGTGTATTAAAGTGACTCGAAACTGCAAATGAATAATGAATATTCTCAAAGACAGACACGTATGGTCTCAGTACGTGGTTTCGTGGAAATATTTCAGTTACATGAAGCTGGTCGAGAGTAACATTTTACAGGAAGTGTACTCAACCAAAGTCAGTGTTTTAAATTTATGTTTTCTGCATATTCTGCAGAAGTATTTATAAATATGTACGTTCGACATTTGGATATTTCTCCATATGAAAAGTAATTTCGTGTACAACATACATTTTATATATGGGAATGAGTAGCTCTAATAATTATAGTCTAAAACATTTAGTTTTTAAATAATTAAAAAAACAAATTTAATATATGAGAAGGGATCTAAGAATATTCAGTGACCTTTGACTTAGGTCCCAGGATTTTACATGATAGAATTCTAGTAGACATAATACACTGATGCATACGAAAAATTTCTTCCTGTTGTGAATTCGGTAATGGACCTTCGGGTTCCGAAAACAGAAAAGCAAGGCATTTTTTTAATTAGATAAGCGACTACTTTCTCCTTACCCTGTCATCTATAGGCTTAAGTGCACTAAAGACACTTATCATTGTGGATGCAATAAACAAGACTGACAGGCCTACTTCCTAATTAATAATCTTCTGTTACTGAACATTTCTCTAAGTGACAAAAGAATTGTATATGAAGATCTAAGATTGATTAATTTCTATTAGGAAACAAAGTAGAACTTAGTTGTACGTACGAACCTTCGACAGCAGTGTAATTCTTAGTTAAGATTCTGTTCCCGGAAGTTAGAAACCGAAACTCGTCTGAGTAATAGTTCTGAGTTTAGTCCGTACGTCAAAGAAACACAACATGTCACCATTACAAAAATTAAATGCTTTCTGACCATCTCTAAGCGCTGTTTAAGGAAAATAAATTATTTTTGGTCTGAGACTCACACACCACATAAAACTACAAAATGTTTCGTTTTGATTGTTAATGCAGGCTGGACAAGTGATTACCATTGGGCTTTAAAGACTTAAGAAAGTATCCCGAATTGTAGCCAAATCTACAGGGTGGGTGGGAGGTAAGTAGGCATTAAATAATCGCTATGCATTGGAAATATGGAGGTTATAACCTTTTATCAATGCCTACTAACTTCCCACCCACTCTGTACATGGACGTATACATGTAACAGTAGAAATAACAGATATTACTAATTTTAGTTTTTCGGACAATTCGTTCGTCATTATGCTTCGTCAAACAACCGCTCCGTAATGACGATTAGAAAAGTCAAAAAAAAAATTGAAATACGTAATTCAACAACGTCGTCAATAACATTTAGAGATGAGCACACATATATTCGTTTCCTGTTCTTTCTGTCCCCAGCACTGCGGACTTCGACACTTGCGCTAACCATTATTCATGATTTTTCGCTTGCTACTACCATGTCAATACATGCCCACTCAACTCTCGCCATCTATAACGGATTTGTCTTTGCTGAAAGTCACTGAACCGAGGCGCGTATC